GAAACAACCTCTGGGCTGATCAAAGTCAAACTATCTGGTGTCATCCCTTAGTTATTGCTGCTACTTGCATATACCTTTTGTGAACCATGGATTCAGTGAAAGAAACTTGTATTTTCTGTTATTAACTAAAGGACCAAGCTTATACTGGCTGCCACAAAATCAAAGACACTGCTTCTCATCTGCATACCCCTATTTATGCTTATTGACTGCACCTCAGATTTTAATTCATACCTGCAAATTGACTTGTTTTACTTTAGTATAAAACACCAACAGCAATTTAGCTGCAAAACCCCTCTCAAAAGAAATCCCACCACAAAACATGTAAGCACAAATCCCTAATACAGAGGTGACTAGCAAGTTTTGCTAACTTAACTTCTTATGTTATTTGATCCATAGGTAACATCATTCCAGCTTCAACAATTTACCAGAACCTCAAAGAAATCCTCACCGACCCCACCCCTCCACCAAGACATCCCCTAGGAGTCCTCACAACCGAAGACCGTGACACGTGGGCTAGTCAACGTCACGCCATCTCTGCCATTCCTGCCAATCATGAGGCTCTAAAGTTGATTGACAGTGCTTTGTTTGCATTGTGTTTGGATGATGAAGCACCTTATGAGCCTGCTCACTTGACACAGGTTATGCTTCATGGTGATGGGATGAACAGGTAACCAATCATAATGCTTTTTCATTATCAGATGATCAGGGTCAAAAAAGGGAAGCACAGGCAGCATAGCAATAAGTTTGCTTGCCTATCACCAATGAGACCTTGATGCTAATATTTTCGATTGTTTTGACCCCCAGGTAGGGATTTAGTGCAAGCGGTCTATACAGCAATATCAATAGTAGTCTCGTGCAGTGCAGTGCAGCGTAGTGCAGTGCAGTGTAGTGCATTGTAAAGATAAAAAGTAAAGACAGTAAAGATTTCAAGGCAAATCGTCAGTACGTGCCTCATCCACGAATGTAATATTTTTTTCTAGCCACTCTATACAACTAACCTTGTCTTCATTGAAGGTGGTTCGATAAATCGTTTCAACTCATTGTCTGCAAACAAGGAGTATCGGCAATCAACTTTGAACACTCCTGGGGAGACGGTGTTGCTGTCCTTCGCTTCTTCAACGAAGTCTTCAAAGATAGTTCTACTCGTCCGGCCATCTCGCCACAGGAAGCCCAGTCAATAAACTGTGAGAGCACAGTAAGAAAACTGGAATTTTCTTTGACGCCTGAGTTAGAACGAGGTGTACAGGTAGCGAAGGAGAAATTCGACGATACGGTCAGTACCCTGATCACAGAAACCCTAGAGATAAAAAGCTATGGCAAGGATTATATTAAGACTAAGCAGTTGAGTCCAGATGCTTATATGCAGCTTGCTTTCCAGGTTAGTTTGAAGGCGCTGTGACGCACGAGGATTTCTCGTGCAACTTGCGTCGCAATAAAACGTCGTAGGAAGAACACACTGTTTCACGTGCAACTTGTGTCATGAAAAAAAAAATTGTTGCAAGTTACAAAAAGCAGAAACTGATGTTCTACATTTTTGCAACAAAATATCGGAACTGAGTACAAGTTGCGCGTTAGTGTATGTTGCAGGAAACCTTGTGCTATAGACCCCTTGCAGCACGTGGGAATGCAGCTCAATTTGGAGGACAAAACAAGTTTCCAATTTAAGAAGATTGAAATTCTTTTGTTTTGTCCTTCAACTTGAGCTGACGTTACATGCAAGGGGTCCATACAAGGGAAAAACCTACTCGTTACATCCAGCTTGTAGTAGAATTATTAGTGGATGAATAGGCTGCTTCTGTCATTACAGATGGGCATCTACCGTCAAAAGGGTCACTTTGTGCCGACCTACGAGTCATGCGCTACTGCGGCCTTTAGGCATGGTCGTACCGAGACAATCAGGTCAGCCAGTAATGCTACCGTAGCCTGCAGTGAAGCATTCGATAAATCACATCGAGCTGGCGTTGATGAGATGGTGAACAGAATTAAAATAGCAACGGATTGGCATGCTAAACTCACCAAAGAAGCCGCCATGGGTAAGAATTAAAGAAAATATTTTTTTATCGCATCAAGTATTATCTGGTCTCCTAGCTTACATTGCAAAGGTTTCTAGAAAATCATTTGTGCGACGGGAAAGAATTGATGCGTTCAATCGACCCATTATACCTCCCTATCTAGGAAAGTTTGGAATAATGCAAGCTAGAAGTCCACAGAGAATATTCATTTTGAACCCCTGGAGCAAATTATGGTCGTCAGTCAAAACGTTTTCGGCAACATTTATGGCACACACTGATTCTGTCACTATTGTAGTCTCGTTTTTAGTGCCGCGGCCTTGACGACGCTTAAAACGGCTGCGAGGGAGACTATGCCCATTTAAGTGTCTAAAACATTTATGGGTATTGAAGGGAAAAACGTAGATAGTAGCCAGAATAATATAAGATGAATAATCAAATTATGAAAATTATTTTTGCAACATTCAAACCAATATCTTGCTCTATTTTCCAAGGCCAAGGGTTCGATCGTCATTTATTCGCACTTCGAACGCTAGCAGAGGCATCAGGACAACAACCAGACATATTCCAAGACTCAGCCTACACTAAAATCAACCGTATCCACCTTTCAACCAGCACCTTGTCCAGCCCAGCTATCATGATAGGTGGCTTCGCTCCTGTTATCCCAGAAGGCTTAGGGGTAGGGTATGGGATCTTCGATGATCGATTGGGCTGTAATGTGACTTGTTATGAAAACGGTGGTAACGCCAAGGAATTTCTGGAATGCGTGGCATCCAGTCTAGAAGACATGCACACCGTTTTGAATGGAAAGAATTTCAAGCAGTAAGCGTGGAACAAGTTGAAACCTGTTCCTGGGCTATGAGGCTTACAGAAAGATACAAAAGTTCCCTCTCCCCCGAGATTTTTATCTTTTCTGGTTATTTTTGTTTACGGATTTCTCTTAGAATGTCTTGTTGCTCTAATTTTGGATTCTCCTTTTCTGATATTTTTTCAAAAAATTCTCTTGAGGCGGCACACCCCATTTGAAGGAGCCCCTTTGACTCCTCATTAGCTAATTAATATTTTACAATTATATTCATTTCGTTATTGATTGATCAATAACGGGTTTCCATTTGCCAAGGATCCTTCATGAATTCACCATGAATTTCAGGACATTTTGAATTTTTCCACAAATCTTGTTTTTACACGCCTATATTATTGTCTATGCAACGGATTCGTTTGGCTCGACCATGAGAGGATGTGAATTAACAAGAGTTAATTTTCTTGGGAAGTTACATTAAACATTATGTAGAAATTTCTAGTATTGTGCACAACGAGTTTCTTCTTCTGGCACCCGATGGAAAAGGCAGTTCATTCTTAAGTCACGCCATTTTCTGGTATTTATGACAGTATTTATGATTTATTATTTATTGGATCAACAAATTTGAATCATAAACCCTTTTAAATAAAATATCGCTAAAGTGGTTTGATACAACAGACTGAGAAAGAAAGAACCCGGTAACCTTCGTCCGATAATTAACCTTGAAGCAACTGAGCTGTTTGTCAATACAATGTATCGAAGTGTGAATCAAAAATGAGCGAACTTCGAATTTTAAACCAGTTCGATGAGGCCTACCTCGACAGCCGTTTATAAACTTAGTTATAAAATATTCCGGCGATGCATTGTGCCAATGTCAATGTCCAGCTCTCTTTCTCCTCAAAGTAGGCGCTGAACTAAAACAGGTTACGCATACCATTTCAAGAGCACAGCATTTCTTGAAGCATGCGCAGTAAGAGACAAGGGCTCTGGTAACGAGATTGGCTGGATTAATGATTTATTAAGATTCATAAGCTCATCAAAACAAAAGGCAGCACGCTTGGTGTTGAGGTTTTGCTGTTTATTGGAAAATAATATCGATATTTACGCACTGACTCCAAAACTATTTTTTTCGTTTTTTGATACAACTTTCTCAGTTTCGAAGCACTAAGTAGAATCAGTATGAAAAGTTTGACAGAAAGATATTCTCAAACAATAATAACTTTATGCAATTGATCTCAAAATTCATCATCGTAGTCGTATTCTTCCGGCTCGTATTCTTCATTCTCTTCGTAGTATCCTTCCTGCCCGTAGTTATACCCCGCCTGATATTCCTGTGTATATATCGCTTCGTCCATCTCGACACCAGGGTAGTATCCTTCCATCACCTGTGCATCCATTTCTGTAGGTTTTTCCTTCTTTTTCTTCCCACAGCAGCAGAGGTAAATACACACTGACATTAATAGTATTAGAAGTAGGAACGAGACAACGGCAACGATGAGAGCAGGCATGTTTTTTGTGCTTAACCAAGTTGTTGTTTGGTCCGTCGGATCGACTTGGGTCGTCTTTGGTCCCAATTCACGTATGAATGGATTCTTTCTGTTCCACACGCCGCCGTAACAATCGTTATCGTAAGAACAGAATGGAATATCCCGTTCTTTGCTTTCTTCCCACTTACACCAACTGCAGCCAAATGTTTTACGACAAGAGCTTTCACTTTCAATTTCATCACATTTTGGGTTGAAGCAGTTCGGAAGGTCAGCGGTGTTCGATGGAAGTGGTGGACGACTTAAAACTTTGGCGGAGGGAGGACTGCATGATGGGATTAACCTGTTTACAAAAAGCAATAACAATTCTATCATTTACAGTCACATATTACAAAGCTTTAAACATAGATGTTTCCTTGATTACTTTCGGCCATAAGATACTAAGACACTCTTATAGAAGTCATTGTTGTACGCGTTGTACGAAGGGTGGATAGCGCTATCCGACGGATAAATTATTAACCAGTGGATAAGTGGATGCTGTCATCCAATAAATGTATCCACTGGATAAGATTTATCCTTCAATTAGCGCTAATAAATTCACCCTTCGTACAATCGGGCCCTGATGCAACATAGTGGACGAATGTTCTTCATAGAGTATTTGCCCTAGAAAAATCAATGGATAACAAGTATATTTCTGGTTTACTAGAATATCTTTCATCAAGCGAATTCGAATTTAGCTTCGGAAAAATATCTGAGACCAAATTGCTTCAGTCCTCCTTAACGGAGCACTACACTGCGAGTCACAAAGACTCTTCGATGCAACTTACTCGTTCTTGATGACATCGTTGCAATAATCATAGTCCAGATACTTCGTACAAGGACACTCGCAAGTAGAATTAGTTGAACAAGTTTTCTCACAGTGACATGACGCGCTGTCATAACAACTGGATTGGCTGGTAGCGAACGACGCCACGAGGAAGACGTTGCTCTGTGGTATTCTTGTCATGGCGAACATATCGCACCGACCAGGTGTTTCTTGTTCGTTATATATGATATCATCAGCTCCAACATCAAGCTGATGGGAAAGGAAGAAATCGGGACTTAGGTGAAAATGGCGAAGCGATATGAAAGTACTGTAAACAAGAGGGACGAAGTGCCCTAAACAGAACATCGTCCATTTTTTTATGCTGTCTTGCAAGTTGGAATAACAAAGTTATGCAGTTTGTTTGTCCATGACTTCCTACAACCTGATATTCCAGTTTTCCTCTTTCCACAAAACCTAACACGCTAAACTCGAATTCGATCTGTGAGTTAGCCGTGCCCTGACTTAGATCAGCCCAGAGGTTTTTTCAGGGTTCGATCTGTGAGTTAGCCATGCCCTGACTTTGATCAGCCCAGAGGTTGTTTAAGGGTTCAATCTGTAGGTTAGCCGTGTCTTTACTTTGATCATCGAGTACAACCAAAAAGTAGTCGGTTTCAGAGTATCAAAGAAATGAAAGGGTTTCGGCTTTGCTTAGTTTGCCAAGTTCAATGGCATCAAATCAAACAAACAACTAACCTCGTAAAATATCTGCATGTTCCTCTGTGAGAAATCCTGACATGTCTTCTTTTTCATTGCGCCTATCTTGATAAAGTAGCTCGCAATGTGTCCATGTATTTCAGTGATGTGCTTGTTGGTAACTATGGCAACGTCGTCGTATAAATTTCGCTTAGCGAACCTGGGGTGAAAGACGACGTATCCACTCGTGTCCACCAAAAAACACGTGGTCGTTCTTGTATCCTGGCAGCGGAAGCCAAGCTCGTTTTTAATCAGAATATCAAAATTTGAAATTGTGAGATCAGCTGCGACAACACCAAACAGGTTGTCCTGGTTTGGGTTGCTGATTGCCATGGTAACAGATTGGCTGATGGACATGATGATTCCTGCTCCCAGAGGATCTTGGTATGGAGTGGTGAACGTCAACTGGTTTGGGGAATTCTTCGCCTTCAAAAACCTAAAAAAATAATAATTCAAAGGTCAATCGCTTTATAAATACGCCATGATACCAATTGTGGCATTTGCAACTCCTAAAATTCCAATTCGATCTGACGTCGAGTGCCGTTTAAGTCATGATTCTGAATATTTTTTGCAATAAAACTAAAAAGTCTTCTGCTGATTCCCTAGTTTTGAATGATTCTGGTTGAATTCAGTTACGATCTTCTTCTCTGCACATATCATTTTCTGATAAAACAAGTAGAGTGCCAAGCAAGCAAGTGTAATAAAGTGTTGACTATTACCAATGACGGTTAGAGTGGTCATAACTTTGTGGCAAAGGCTCTCCCGGAAAGAACTTTAGGACGCCATTAATTGTTCCGAAAAAGCGCCTTGGAATTTGGGCGAGACATTTTTTATGATGACTATGAACCCAAAGTTTCTCCAGAGAAACCCCAATCTTAGCAGTTTCAGCAATGCCACTTGGGAACGTTTTCCTGTGCTTATGGATTAGGTCGTTCATGTAGCTGGTGATCTTGCTCGGTGTCTCTTCGCTGTCGAGGTATTCTGAGGGGTCGTTGAAGGCTCTGGGACTAAACTTGATTGTCGATTTATCTGTGAATTTTACGAGATGTAAAATAATAAGTACTCGAAAAATGGAGAAAAGCCATTGTTTCCGATATTTTTGGCGCTAGCTTAAACTTATTTGAGCTTTAAAAGTGCATTCCACTTTGTTGCTTTGCAATCATTCATTGTGTTTGTAGTCTGGGTGTGACTGACGGCACATTCATTTTTTCCAATTTGATATAGTTTTATGGGTATTCTGAACAAAATCTAATATTTCTCTATTGGAAGGATGGGTAAATATACCCTATGCATGATGTCACTAACGTATACTGGCTTGTTGCATATACCTCTGTACGATACGGAGTCTGCATAGTAGCACGTCTGTCCATGTGGGACCAAGTCCATCCTGTGATATGCTACCTTACCGCCTAGAGAGAGAAATTATGAACCATTTAACGGTGGGTGTTTTGGAGAAATTCGCAAGATTGATGGCATGTCTCCATACACTTGTGCAAGTGTAGAGACAGACATCTGTTTGTCATTTGTGTATCGAGTTGTTTTGCGACAGGATGCAAAAAAATCATTATCCGCACAGAACAAAAATACAACATGATGAGATGAAATAAAAGCATCCCTGAACTCCTCATAATATTTATTTCCATAAACATAAATCACTCTTTTCCCATTTCAGACCACGTGTCATTCCCTATAGTATCCTTTCTTTGTTTAAAGGTTGTGCATGAGAAGACACAGGAATACAACTGTATACCAAAATATATATTTTTCATAATATTAGTTTAGCTACCATACTTTTCAGTTGTTGGTTAATTCTTACCGTTTGTGTCTTGGACGGTCACTGTTTTATCTTTGTCCGCTATGGCAATACAAATGACGTACATCATCACACGACTACAGTGGTAGTGATAATTAACCTTCATTTCAGAGATTCCTTGCCTGCTTCCTCCATCTCGTGTAAAAGAAATTCGTTGTCTCTGAATTTCCTTGCTCCGAACCTCCTTTCCCCTGAAAAGAAAAAGGAAGGTGCTTCATTCTAATCTGCTGGATAGAGAGGAGTAAAGGAAAAATGCTGTTGGCTCGGTGTAATTCTATACTGGCTTCCCGACTAAACCAAGAACAAGAAAATGGACACAACACATGTCACATCATATCACATCACAGGTCACATCACATTACATTACACCACACCACACCACACCACACCACACCACACCAC